TTCCCATTCAGGCAGGGCATATGCCCAGGTTTCAGGCTTGACCCTGAATGGATCTCTCTCTCTCTCTCTCTCATCAATAAAAACATATTTAATAAATAAATAAATAAATAAATGTAGTAACCATTGCCAAGACCTGGAGACCAAACCCACTACAGAATGCATCAGGGCTTTTTCCAGTATCTGTACTGTCATGGCACCTTGCTTGTGTCTTCATTTGAAATGTCCTGTCATACATTAGAGTTGGTAGCTCTTTCCTTTTGCATTATATCAGCTAGTCCTGTGACTCATACTGAGTAGCCATTCAAAAAACATTTGTTAACTTGGAATGCCAAATTATTTTTGTGCCCCAAACGCATTCCACGTGGTCCATGTATTAAGCCAAATTATTGTGTATCAGAACTCTTTTTGAGAAGTACACTCCTTCCGGTATGCTGAAGCCTTACATGTCTCATGTAGCCATGCCAAAGGCCAAGGCAACAGGCTTCATTCTAACCTCTTTTAATAGTTTACTTAAAAAACATTAGCTGCAAATAAGACAGACTGGCTTTTAAAAATTCTTCATCAATAAAAATGTAGTTTTGAATAAAAATGTAAAACATTTGCTAGCCGTGGATAAAAAGTTTGTGTTAATCTTTTTATTATTATTTGCTCTATTTCTATCTCCCTTTCCTTTTTTGACTGTTAAATATTTTAGTTTTGTTTTTCAGAGAGGAAGGGAGGAGAAATAGATACATCAATGATCAGAGAATCATTGATCGGCTGCCTCCTTCATGTTCCCTTCTGGGGATTGAGCCCGCCACCTGGGCATGAGCCCTGATGGGAATCAAACTGTGACCTCCTGGTTCATGCTCAACTAGTGAAGCACACCAGTCGAGCTAATATTTTTGGTTTAATTTCGTGCAGAGGTGTACTGTCATTAGTGGTAGTCACATGGTTGTCTTTCATATGAGGATGGTGGTGTGGCATCCAAATAAAATCCAACTGTAGGATATATATAGGCTTTGAGAACCATGTGGAAAATATGTACATACATACATACACACACACACACACACACACACATATATATATATATATATATATATATATATATATATATATATATATAACAGTTTTGTCCTTCCATGAACGGCCAAACCAGTTATTAAGTATTCCAGATGTATAGCTTCAACTCTGATGATCTGTTAGGCCAAGTCAGATAGGCCTTATCTTAAAATTCTGCTCTGGTTTTCAATCTGTGAGACCCACCCTTGGTTATGTCAGAGAAATGAGGCAATTGTCCTAATTAAAATAGAAATTAGCATAACTTTTGCGCTAATGAATAATGAAAACCAAACAATGGGTAGTGATACAGTATTGCTGTAATTAGTTAATATTCTACTTTTACTTTTCTTTACTCAATTATAATGTTCTGCACAAGATGACCATCTTGTTTTTGATCTACACTAAACTAAACAGTTCCCAAAGTTTAGACTTTTGCACTGACATTCTGTCCCTTTTGCACATTAAAGAGAGAAAGGCAAAAGGACTAATGTGGCTATAACTGCAAGTGAAATTCTAAACCTATTAAACCTTTGAATTTTGACCTACATGCTCAAAAGTTAGTAAATTACATCAAACCCCTCAACTGACTATTAGATACCTCACAGCACTGTGCAAAGAGCACATTCACTTTTCTGACATCATCAGTGTCTTAACTTACATAGCCTGGAGGCAAGCAGGAGAGAGAGAGAGAGAGAGAGAGAGAGAGAGAGAGAGAGAGAGAGAGAGAGAGAGAGAGAGAGAGACTCGTATGTTAGAGCAAGAAGTTATGCATTAGTTTGGTTGGGAGTACCTGCACTAAGTTTTCACTTTCTTTTTTCAGACAAACCCCAGAGCATGCTCCAACAAGGCAGAAATTTGGTAGGGCCTTAAATAACATCTCCTCAAAACACATAAATGAATGTTTTAAGTAACATTCAAGCTGTCACTCTTAAATGAATCTCACTATAGAGAATGTATAGGTTTCCAAAAAAACAAAAATGCAAGAAGCCAGAAAAATATAGTTAAGATTTCCATACGTGTTTAGCAGTCAACTGATGTTTGCTGTGTCCTTGTACTTTGAACCTACCGCAGTATCAAAATAATGGGCAATGATTTTAAACTCATGGTATTTATGAATTTTCATGAATTCAGAGATTAAGAACTTGAGGTGGTTATTCCCATCACAGTGCGATGACTTGCAAAATTTAAAAATTCCCTTTAACGCACTGAAGAGCACCAGCTGCTTTTAATCTGTTAAGACATAAAAATTTAATTTTCTGTATTCTGAAAATGAATTCCATACTGATTTTTAGATAAATTCAACATTTAATAGGTTGGAAGCTTATTGAGGAATCCAATTTTCCTACTTATCTTTAAATAAGTATTTATTTTCATCAGGACTTCATAAATACTTAACACAAAACCCTTTTCTCAGTATGTTCTACATTCAACCTAGTGAATTATGCTTTACATCCAACTCCATAAAAAAAAGTAAAGAGGAAAATTAGCAATTCCTTGGTCAGTTCTCAAACTGCATGTAATCAACCACTAGTGGAACAATTACAAATGCAAATTCCTCGCTCAGCTGGATGGTTCAGTTGGTTTCAGTGGATGTCCCATATATCAAAAAGGTTGCGGGTTTGATCCCCGGTACAGCTGTGTACAGGTGGCAACTGATAGAGGTTTCTCTCACATTGATGTTTCTCTTCTCTCTTTCTCTGTCTGAAAATCAATAAACAGATTCTCGGTTAGGATTTAAAAAAATGCCAATTCCTAGGCCACACCCTCAGACTATCTAGAGACTGACTCAGTGAAGGATTCTTACTCTTCTTCAATAAACACCCAATGGGCTCTGATGCTATTTGTCTAAAGAACACTGAAAACTGCTTATGCAGTGGAAAAAAACTCTTATTAACAGACGTTCTATCAGTCCATATGGCAGTTTTTGATGAATAAAGCTAATTAGTCAAAATTTTTGTGCTTTACAAGCCTTGCAAAATATCCAATGACAGTGAATAAGACACCCTGCCCAATTTTTCAACATTCTTCTTCCTCTTAGGCCATTTTCAGGGTTAAATTTAGAGTATTAGGATTGCAACATTCAGTATCCTGAGGTTGAAACTTATCGAGTAAATCATTTCTAAATTATTGTAACCTTCTGTTTTTTGGAGTAAGTTTTGAAGACATTGAAAGTCCTTACAGCTATGTGTTGGGTTAGGAGACTATAATTCCTTGAAAGCCAGTTAAAAACAAAACATAAGACAACCTGTACTAAGTCCTCTTAAGCAGAGGAGGAGCTTTAGAACAGGAAACGAGAGATTAAATAATAATGACAGGTAAATCATTTCCTAGACTTCCGGAGATTCTTGGCAGCAAAAAGTTGTGCCTTTGAAAGAAAAAAATTATCCGCCACAAAGTGACTGATTAATCAAGTGACTTATTACAAATAAAAAACCCTTGTATTTGGGCTTGTAGCAGCTTGCTGTGTTTGCTCCCAAAAGACAACTGCAAACAGACTTATTGTCATGCTGAATCTTTTTCTGAGAGTAAAATTTAACAATTTTCTGGGTAATTTGATTAAATAAGACAGGGCCCTCTCACATTGTCCTGTTTGAGCTTGAATTATTAGGTCAATATAGGATGACATTTCATGATACCCTTTACCTGAATCAAAAACAAGCTATGTTTTCCATGTCTTTCCTAACATAAGGAATTTGGTATCATGGCGATTAAACAAATCTTGAGTCTAAAAACAAACAGACTGAAAAGAAACAACAACACATAGAAGTCAATAAAACATTTTGGCCTCACTTACAAGCATGTGTATTCTGCATGCCTGACAGAGGATATTCAATAAATGTTTGTTGAACTAAATTCCTTTCTCTGGTCTTGAATTAGCTTCATGGCAGTCGTTCTTAATACTGGATATAAAAAAAATCTAATTGTTAATCTTTTAGAGAGTCTCCTAAATGAATCAGTTTAAGATTTAAAACAATAACCACCTTGCAAAACAAAGGCAAGCCAGCAAATCTGCCCAAGCAGATGGAGGGACAAGAGCAATGAGATAGCCAGGATAAGTTCCCATGATTAATATAGATAAGTGTGTCAAATGCTCAGTTATTTCTCTCCTGATGGCTAGAATTACCTCTGAAAATCATCAGATCTCCACGATATTTTAAAGCAATAACGACAGATAAAAATAATCTTATAGATAAGTGAAACTATTTCCCTGAAATGCTAGCTTTCACATTGAATGTGGTTTCTGTCACTTTGAAAAAAGGGGGGGGGGGGGGGGGTGGTGGAAATAAGACAAGAGTTCTGTTTAATTTCAAACGTTAATATATTTTCTATTTTATATTGAACATTTGCACCTGTAACCCCTCATTTGCAGCAACTATCACATCCTCATAAAAGGGGCAAAATTTGTAAGATGCCTCTTAAAATAAATATTCTTTTTTATAAAATAATAAAACTTCAAATAAATATTCTTTACACTAAACAATATGTTGAAAAAATTAGAAAATAAAGGTTGAATTTTACTGTAACTGTACAATATACATGAAGTCCAAAGGGAAATCAGAGTCTTACAATAAAGGCTTTCTGTAAGGCAAAATACAATCTAAAAACATACTGATTGATTCACATTCTTCCGAATGTACAACATATTAGTATAATATTTTGTGACTGTGCCAAATAGCATGGCACAACATGTTTTTCACAGTTGCAAATATTATTGTATATACAAAAATATAGCACATTATCTCTGGAGAAAACAATGGAAAAAAAGTCATTTGCTAATTTACAAATTTTGCAAGGACTATTCACAAACAAACAAAACATTTTGCCTAGGAGTGTCTGCTGCTTTAGCTTACGCAACATGTGTGTGAGTCGCCAGCTTCTGTATCCCATACCTTGAGTTCTAACAAGCATATCAGTTAAAATGGCACATGGACAAAAGCATTTCACTCCAAACAGCAAAGAATATCCCAACCCTCTATTAACAGTGCCAAGATTATAACTGTTTAGTTGGTTGCATATGTGTGTTAAAAAGAGAGAAAGAAAAAAAAAGAACAACCCTATTACTGTAATATTCCTGATTAATAATGCTATGTTGGTTTTTCAAAGTTCCTGGGTGGGACAGTGGGAACTTTGCAGCAAACGGTGTTTGAGTTTTTACACCGGCATCCAGGCCTATTCACCCGATCGTAACACCCCTGGCACAACTTAAGGCAACCCTTGGCTGGAAGGTAACACCATAAACAAGGCAAAAAGAGAGACATGACGCCCATTGCCGACCAACGTGTACAACAGTGAGACTGGCTGCAAGAACACGGGTTGTCAGCACAGTTGTCCTCGTCATCATTAGAACAGTGATAGAAGAGACCTTTCACACAGCACACACAAGTCCCATAGTCAATCACGTTCTGGGCCGAGCAAAGACACTGCTTGTCGCAGATCCAGTCTGACGGCAGAGGCCTCGGGTAGGTGCACTCCTTACACTTGCACTTGCCACAGTCCTCACACCTGTAGGCATGCAGGCCCAAATCTTCCTTGCTCAGCGGCTTAAGCTCACCTGGCTTGAGCTCAGATTTGGGCTGCACCCGGATTATCCCATCGGCAATTGGCCCAGAAGAGAAGGATGGTCCCAACAGTCTCTGTTCAGAGGAGCTGCTGCTGGTACTTGTCCTCGTGCTGCTCCGAGACCCCGAGCTGACCGTGCTGATAGACCTGGACAGAGGTGCTCGTGCAGCAGAATGGACCTGCGAGTGTTGCAGCCTGGGAGGCTGGCGGTGCTCGGGCAGACCGTGGAGTCTCTCGTGTTTGTGCTGAGCAGAGGGGCGAGGAGCAGGCTTGAGGCCAGGTCTCGGGACAACAGTAGGCCCCTCTGTGTACTCATTGGTGTTTCGTATAGCTCTGATCTGATCCAGGGACAGCACGTGTACCTGCTGGACGAGGGCTTCTCTAGGGTCAGGCTCCCCACGCTGTCTCCCACTGTTACGGGGTGCCTGCAGCAAGGGCTGTGACCCACTGCCACTCTGAGCTCTGGCCTCCATTGGGTCTTGGAAGTGTGGTCACTCCAGCAGGCTTAGAACACATCTGAATTCCTGCAGAAACCAAGAGGAAAGAGCAGGTTTACACTCCAGGATACTTCCTACTCTCCACCCACCTGAGTTAACTCTTCACTTCCCACTTCCTCTAGAGAAACAGGAATTGTTCCTGAGTGGCTGTGGGAATGATTAGAATAGCCACATGATCGATGCCGGCACCAAAATGTAAAATTTTGGCTGGATATTGACAGTCCTTTAATCTTGTGATGTGTAGTGACACAAAGCTGACTTTGTTTCAATCACGTAAGTATCAATTCCTTATTCAAATAAACATAAAATTTGCAAGGGTTAGGTTCCCTGTAAAAATTGCATGGAATTAGAACATAACCATTGCAACTGACATTTTCAAAAGTTGAACACCTTTTCCAAATTAAGATTATCATGGTAATTTGTCTTTAGCATCAATAAATACACCCTGGAAATTCTTACTTTAAGTCTGCTTTTACATCAAATACCTTAAACTATTACTTAGCTAGTATTTTGTAACTTTATAATATCCCCATATGATGAATATGGCAGGCAAAAAATAAATATTCCTCCCCCCAAAAATAGTTATAAATTTTACAACAGTCATGCACTATCATTCAATACACAGTAGGCACAAAGTTTTAGAATTAAAAACAAATCGATTCAAATCCTGTTAGGTGCCAGGAACACAATCAAGCAAACTCACACAAACAAGACGGAATTTATTTTCAATTTCTCAACTTCAGAGTCAGATATTTTACAGTCCGATTGCCTAGAACTTAAATTCTGTAGCTGTTTTAGAAATAAATTATGCCAAAATCTTAAATGCTTTGCCCGTTTCTAAAAAAAAAAAAAAAAAAAAAAAAAAAAAAAAAAAAAAAAAAAAAAAAGATTAAAAAAAAGTACTTGAAAACATAAACCGGTTGGTGATAACCGGAAGTGTTTTAAAATTCAAGTGTCACGTCTCAAATCTATCATTCTGACAAGTCATGGCCTTAATTACAATCTCTCTATAAAAACTACCATCCCCTTTACCACTAAATCTGCAATGAATAAAAACGGGCAAAAGTAGACTTTTACCCAACCTCTGATTTTTAGAAATGAGACCCAGGCAGGTGACACACGCCTCCCAATCCCGCAAAGGCTGAGCTGGGAACCGGATCTCACTCCCAACAGAAAGGGAGACAAGACAACCTTGCCCTCGCTTTCTCGGCATTTATCGGCTCCATCGGCGCTCCAACACCGTCCCCAGCAGGTGGGACACAGTCAGGGCCCCGAGGGACTCGGTCTCCGTGCGGATCCCGGTAGCCCGGGGGGGCAGGTTGGCCCCCGTGTGCGCAATCGCCGCCGCGAAAGGCAGGCGGGGGGCGGGCGCCTCCGGGGGGTGTGCAGTGAAACTCTGGAGCACCCCCCCCCAGCCCTCCCTTTCCAGCTGAAACTCCCCCCGACCCCAGGGAGCTGCCTCCCAGATCCCAACCGGGCCACTCCACCCCCAGGCAGAGGTCACGTAGCCCACCGCAGGGCGTTCCCGCAAAGGCCCTCGCACATCCGGCACTGGCTTCCAGCCCCGACGCCCGGAGGACGACAAGTCCTGCCTTAGACGCACAGCCGCGACACGGAGGTCTAACCCGCGCACACAGGGCGATTCCATCAAGGGGCACCGGTGCGCCTGCAACTTGCACACACCTACATTTCTGAAAGTTAAGGAGAAATCACTTTTCAAATAAAGGACATTTCCCAAGGCTCCGCTGCACGTCGGGCATGCAGGACCCATACCCTTGGGCTGGGAACTTTCCGCGATTTGATTGCAGTGGAAAGCAGCATCTTTGGGGAGAGATTTTTTTTTTTTACAAGTTATTTCTGCCGACCCCTGGCCTGTTTCGCAACCGCGCCCCCGTCCCCGGCCCTGCAGTCCCCTCACTCCTAGTCCCGCTTTTAAATTACTTTGAAACCCCCATTAAGAAGTGTCTGATCAGGTTTAGGATTAGGGGGGAAAGTACTTCAGCACAAGGGTGGGGCAAAACGACACAGAAACCACTTTGTAAAAACGCACGAGATTCCAAATTAAAAAAACAGCAGCGCCAACAGAAAAAAAGTATATCAGCCAATCAAAGGGGGGAAAAAACTAGCCTCTTTTGCCACCTATTTTCAGGTAATGGAAAACGATCGCGACCGCTTGATGACTTTCTTCCTGTGTTGGGTCAGCCCGATCTTCCAAAAATAAAAAAATGAAAAGCGTGACCCAGGCCGACCACGGAGAACGGAAAAAAGAGAAAGCGGCACTTCCGATCCGCAGCGACCGGCGCCAGGCAGGGCGACGCTCCCACCCGCGCCGGGCTCTGTCCACACGGGACAGAGGCGGGGGCTCCCCCACCCGGCCCCCTCTCCCTTTTCCACCCGCGAGGTCTCGCTGCCCCCGCGAGGCGAGCGACTCGCGCGCCCTCGGTCCCGCGAGCACCCCAGCCTCTTCCAGGGCTCGCCTCGCCTTCCCCGAGAGGTACAGGTTAGAAATGCGGGCGCCTGCAACGGCGACCTGGAAAACACAGGGTTTCTCTCCCTTTCCTACTCTCAGCGCCGAATTCGGGACCAATGCAGGGCTGGGAGCCGACTCCAGGCGAGCCCAGCCACCCCAACCCCCCAGAGTGCGGGCGCGTGGGACCGGGGACTCTGCACCGAGCGCGCTGCAGCCTCCGCCCAGGCAGGCCGAGCCCCCGGCCGGGCAGACCCGCGGGCAGCTCTCAGGATCTCCCCGGGGAACCTGGGAGCTAGAGAATGGGAGGCCACAGGAGAGAAACCCCACTCCCGACCCGGCTGCACCTACTCCATGTTGCCCAAAACGCGCCGGCCACGGCGCCAGGAGGGGGAAGAGCCGAACGCGCCTCACCGTGATCGCGGCTTTGCACCAACCCCTCTCCGTTGGATTCTCTTCTTCCAGCGAGGTGCAAATAATTCCAGCCCCGATGCAAACTTTTGCCCCTTCTTTCCAAACTCTGCTTCAGTCCAACTTCGGGGCAATCGGAGCGAGTTAAAAAGGAGAGGAGAATCCGGAGCCAAGTCCCCAGCCGATTAACACTCCGAGGTTCAGGGCTGGAGGCGACGACCCCCCCTTTCCAGAAGCGCACGCGGAGTTATTTCCTCGTTTTTCTCAATGAACTGGAGGCCGAAGCGCCAACGGCGAGTCTCTCTTCCTGGCAGATGAGCGAATGAGAAAAGAAAACGGCCTTACGGAGACCCTAAAGCCGGAGGGCCAAGCCGTGAGGCTGCCGCCGCGTCCGAGCGGAGGCGGCGCGGGGCCGCGGGCCGGGCCGGGCGGGCGCGGGGGCCTGGGCGCTGCGCGCTCCGCCGGCCCCTCTCCTCCGCTCGCGCTGCGGCGCGCAGCTCTCCGCCGTGCAGACTGGGCGTTGTGGAGGCGCGGCGGCGAGGCCGAGGCGGGGGCGGTGGGTGCGGAGGAGGAGAGGGCGGAGGAGGAGGAGGAGGAGGAGGAGGGTCTGGGGCCCGGCCGGGGGGGCTCGCGGTTGGCCTGCGCCCTCGCCTTTCCGGAGGAGGCAGGGAGCTCTGCGGCGGCCGCGGCAGCAGTAAGTGGCGTCATGTGGATCCGAGGCGGAACAGAGCAGTTGTTGTCCCAGAGGATATATCGCATCCGGTCCCAGCTCATTGGCTCCGCGGGGCTACATTCACTCACACTCCAGCGCCCGCCAGCGCTCGGAGCCGCAGGAGGCATTCAAAAGGGCAACCGCGCCGCCCTGCGAGTCCCCAGGCAGGTCCTGCCGCCCGGGCGCCGTCACGCGGGGCGCCCGCGGGGCCGGCTGGGCACCGCGGGGTCAGTTTATCTAGTTTCAAGGAAACCCTGACCCTAAGATTTCCCCAGAGGCCATGCGGACGAGCCATAGGCTCGGTCTGACTTATGGAACTTTCCCCCCCACCCCCGCCACTAGGAAAAGGAATAAACATTTAAAACTAATTCGGGCCACTCAATGTTAGCATTTAAAACAAGTTGCAGGTTTTAAGACTATGGCAGAATCCATTTCAAACCCACCTCCCCTCTTCGGATCCCCCTCGAGGGGGCGACGGGGAGAGAAGAAGGGGGAGGGGAAGGGGAGCGGGAAGTGAGGTGGGAGGGCTATTGGTTTATTCTTTGTCTACTGGATTAACCCGATTATACACCAGGCACCAGCACCCACCGCCTCCCCCACCTCGGAGCCGTGTCCTAGAGGGAAAGGGATGCAGATTTGGGTTTCAAGTACCTTCTGCTCTGCCCGGGGATTTGAGTTTGATTGTGTTAATTTGTAGTTTTTTCCGTTTTAATATTAGATTTTATTTTAAAGGGGTGGTTAGCTACATACATGGAGGCTTTTTGAAGATCTCTCTGTTTTGTTTTACACAATAGCTGGTGGAAGTCATACAATAAGCCCTTTAATAAATAGTTAATTCAGTCATGAACACACGATTACTAAGGGCCACATCACGGGCTTCTGAAACGGGAGGGGGCTCGCCGTTACACAGCAGATTTCCTCCTCCTCTTACCCAGGACAGTCATCTTTCATTTCCTCCTCTTCTGTGACCTAGAATACTTCTCAAGAAGACCCTATTGTCAATTTCGGTAATATGAACTGCATTTTCCTACTTAAAAATGTAAAGATAGAAATGCATACACACGCACTGCTCTAACTGCCGCTCAGTTACTAAGAAACGTGCTTGCGCGTGAGTACCAGTGAGAAATTACACCCCCCCCCCGCCCCCGCACACACATACACAAACTCCTCATATTGGATTCAAGTGATTTACAGAATGTTTTCACAGGGAAGTACGATTAGTACTTCCGAATAGCACCTGCGATCGTGCCCCCGTGTGGAGCTCCGGTGCTAGGAAAACGTGGTGCTTGATTCCTCGGGTTGGGTCCTGCTCCAGCCCACATCCGTTGCAGCCGCCCTGGCACTCGCTGCCCCCTCCGAGCTCTCGCTCTCGCACGCCCCGGGCGGGCACCTTCCCTGCCGCGCGGCGTCCTCGCCCTCCCTTCTCCATGTTTCGTTAGGGCTCTCCCCCCTCTCCCGGGGTTTAGAACCAGAGATGGCAGGGGAAGTGCCATGCGTTATTTCCGGGCGCTGGCCTACGTGCCCCCCCACCCTCGGGTGAGGGTGGACGAGGCTCGGTGAGAGGGCTCTGCCGCGTCCCGGGGGCTGCAGGCGCCGATCTACCGAGCCCACCCTCCCCACGCCAGCCGCTCCCCCGACGCCCTAGTTCTGAGAGCCTCCGGGTGACGGCAGGCGCCGCGGCTCTTACGGCGCGTCCGGCCGCCAGAGGGCGCCCGCCAGGCGCGGGGCTGCGGCAGCCTTCTTCCCCAAAACTCTGGCGAGGTTGCTTTTACTCATAAAATATACATTAGGTCGGCTGGTTCAAAATGCAAAAAAAAAAAAAAAAAGTATTTGTAACATAAATGCCATAGTAGGTAGCTTTCCCTATCATCTCCTCCGACACATTCTGTTTGTAATGCGAAACTAGGTACCTTGGGTTCGGAAGAACTCCAGCCTTTACCAAGAAGGAGTTGGGGGCCACAGCCAGGTTGTGCAAGCCTGGTCGGAACGCGCTGCCCAGCGCCCGCCGCCGAACAGGTGAAAGAGACGCCTTCTCTTCGCCTCTTCAATCCCCTGCCCCCGCAGGCTGCTGCTTAGAAGACACTGCCCATGCTATTCTCCCAGCGCTGCAGGAACTCTGCGAAGACAGGTTGTTCTGGACCAAAGCATAAAATGGAATTTTAAAAAAGGAGCTTCCGGCTGGTTAGAGTACCTTATATTTTTATCAAGTCAGTAGGGAAGAAGCTAGGAAATTATATTTATCTTTCATGAGCTAGAAGGAATCCCATGTAATCTAGCTCTCCCCTCCTTCCCCACAGCCTCCCACTTGCTGGCTGGGAAAACATTTAACCTATAATTTAAGCACGAGGTAAAAACAGAAATCTGTTGGATTCTTTCTAATTTACTCCTTACTATTTATTTTATGTAGTGCAATTATTATTTTTCAGACATGGTGTATAAAGCAGTATATTGTGCCTTCAAAGTTTACTTAGGGAGTTATAATCCCTAAGAGGAATTATGTTTATGTGTATGCATGTGCATGTACACACAATGAAGCGTTTGGTGCAGCTCTTGTAACGAATTCCCAAGTTGATTTTCATGTTGCATTACAAAATTATGGCTGGGATTAATTCTGGATGATTCTTTGGAATTATGAAAGAATGTTATGCAAAACTTGACAATGGGGTCCATTTTCAAATGTGTTGTGGAGACTTCCAGAGAGGCAGCCCTGATGCCTGAATAGGTGTTGCCATTTACTCAATGTTGAAAAATATCAAGTCCATGGAAACTCATGCTGCACCAAGTTCTCCAAATTCTGGGGGTAACATGCCTACTTAGTCCTAACAGTTGAACAGGACTGTATGTCATACATTTGGGACCTCAGCCTTCATTTTACTTTCCATATTCATTTATTTGGATTTACTTCCTTTTATAGCTATAACTATTCTCAATGTATTTATTTATTTTTAATATACTTTTTATCGATTTCAGAGAGGCAGGGAGAGGGAGACAGAGATAGAAACATCAAAGATGAGAGAGAAGCATTAATTGGTTGCCTCCTGCATGCCCCACACTGGGGATTGAGCCCGAAACCCAACCTGGCATGTGCCCTGACTGCGAATTGAACCGTGACCTCCTGGTTCGTAGGTTGACACTCAACCACTGAGCCATGCTGGCTGGGCTTGTTTGTTTGTTTGTTTATTACTTTTATTTTTAAAAAATCTTTATTGTTGAAAGTATTATATGTCCCCTGAGTGGGACCTATGTGAATTTTGCTTATTTTTATCTTTGGTAGAAGACATCAGGATGGACAATGAGGACATGCTTTTTTACCAGTAGGTATGTCGGCCTAGTTAAGTCAGATATTTTCAAGGTTGCACTTACTCATCTAAGCTTCTGATTTATGTGTAGTAATAGGCGAATGTAGCTTTAAGCAACTCTAGTTCCAGTTTCTTTTTGAGATTGACCAAATCACTTGACCTTACTGGGTTCAGAACCAGTTTTGATAACCAAAGAGAAATCTTGCAGTGATATGATGTGTTCTTTTTTTGTTTGTTTTTTGTTTTATTGCTTAAAGTATTACAAAGAGTATTACATATGTCTTCTTTTTTTCCCCCCCTTGACCTTCCCCCGGCCTCTCCTACCCGCCCCCCCTCTCCAGTGGATATGATGTGTTCTTGAAACAAAGAAGAATTAATAGCCATTGATGATTTGGTTACTTTGTTAGTTTTATAATCAAGGAAATTTATTTATCTATTCACATTTAAACCCAGCCTAGAGCACACCAGTGTATACTGTTTCTAAGAATAGCAATTTAGGTCTTTCAACCATTATTTCTCCTCAGATCCCAATTGCAATAATAAACTTAATTTCTGCAGGGACTCTTCTGAGAGGGACCTTCCTTGTCAGGGCTGACCAGCAGACCCTGAGCAATGGATGAATGATTACTCTGACACAGGTTCTCTGTGAAAGAGAGGGCTAAGGGACTGCCTGGCTAAAGGGACCAGACAGCCTCAATTGCCTACCTTGTCAGGCTTTTATTGTAACAGCAGTTTAAGATAAAGTTTATCTTTTAGATACAATCAGTAGGGTAAGTAATCTTGAGGGGGATACATGTGTCTGCAGTGTCCTTTAAGCAAGGACATTTAAAGATTAAGCATAAGGATTCCGGTAAACACCTGAGGGTCTGCACATGCACAGACTTGTTTGGAAAGGTCAAGAAGCAATTAGGGGTGTCGCCTTCAGTTGGAATTCCGAGAAACAGGGCAGGCTGCCTTCAGCCCACTTCCCTTTTGGAATGTCCTCCTTACAAACTTTCCAACCAAGTCTCCCATGCTTCACTACACTTCCTCAATTAAAGGGTTTTCCAATAACGGACCTTTTGATTTTGGCAGCATTGCGAGTCATGTCACTCTTTGAATTGCTTTGATTTTCTAAATTCTATTGATATTGCCTCTAAGAGGGAATTGGGAGTGGCTGCACTAAAACATGCAAAGGAATTAAAAATGGACCACTTGAGTTCTTATCTAGGCGGCTTGGAGAACTGGGAACAATTTATCTCTGCATCTAACCGTTACTCCTAAATCAACTCGGTGATGTCCTTTATTCCAAAATCAACTTGGGAAAGATCTGGAGTTATCCCAGGGTAAGAGGAGTAGTCTTCGTGGCTCCTGTGGATCTAGTCTTTTTCAGAAATCGTACATTCAATCTTGTGGTTTTTATTGGTTAATCAATCTTCCTGCTAGATCTATGCACATTATTACTGAAATTTATGCAAAATCAGATGTGGACT